GGGTGTGTGTGTGTGTGTGTGTGTCACAGTGCAGCATGGCCAGTGTCACACAGTGCTGGGTGTGTGTGTGTGTGTGTGTGTGTCACAGTGCAGCACGGCCAGTGTCACACAGTGCTGGGTGTGTGTGTGTGTGTGTGTGTCACAGTGCAGCATGGCCAGTGTCACACAGTGCTGGGTGTGTGTGTGTGTGTGTGTGTCACAGTGCAGCATGGCCAGTGTCACACAGTGCTGGGTGTGTGTGTGTGTGTGTGTGTCACAGTGCAGCATGGCCAGTGTCACACAGTGCTGGGTGTGTGTGTGTGTGTGTGTGTCACAGTGCAGCACGGCCAGTGTCACACAGTGCTGGGTGTGTGTGTGTGTGTGTGTGTGTCACAGTGCAGCATGGCCAGTGTCACACAGTGCTCTGTGTGTGTGTGTGTGTGTCACAGTGCAGCATGGCCAGTGTCACACAGTGCTGGGTGTGTGTGTGTGTGTGTGTGTCACAGTGCAGCATGGCCAGTGTCACACAGTGCTGGGTGTGTGTGTGTGTGTGTGTGTGTGTGTCACAGTGCAGCATGGCCAGTGTCACACAGTGCTGGGTGTGTGTGTGTGTGTGTGTGTCACAGTGCAGCATGGCCAGTGTCACACAGTGCTGGGTGTGTGTGTGTGTGTGTGTCACAGTGCAGCACGGCCAGTGTCACACAGTGCTGGGTGTGTGTGTGTGTGTGTGTGTGTGTCACAGTGCAGCACGGCCAGTGTCACACAGTGCTGGGTGTGTGTGTGTGTGTGTGTCACAGTGCAGCATGGCCAGTGTCACACAGTGCTGGGTGTGTGTGTGTGTGTGTGTCACAGTGCAGCATGGCCAGTGTCACACAGTGCTGGCTGTGTGTGTGTGTGTGTGTGTGTCACAGTGCAGCATGGCCAGTGTCACACAGTGCTGGGTGTGTGTGTGTGTGTGTGTCACAGTGCAGCACGGCCAGTGTCACACAGTGCTGGGTGTGTGTGTGTGTGTGTGTGTGTGTCACAGTGCAGCACGGCCAGTGTCACACAGTGCTGGGTGTGTGTGTGTGTGTGTGTCACAGTGCAGCATGGCCAGTGTCACACAGTGCTGGGGGTGTGTGTGTGTGTGTGTGTCACAGTGCAGCATGGCCACTGTCACACAGCTGCTTCGTGTGTTGCATTTCCTTGCCCGGGCTGCATTTCTGTTTCAGTGCTGCCGTTCTGCAGCGTGTGCAGGGCTGCACTGCTGGTGTTTGTTCGGGTCTGCGTCTGCCCGCAGGCAGGGAGCAGCTCCCGTGAGCAGCTCGTTATCCTGAGAGGGAGAGAGAAGTGAGAGGGAAATTTCCTGCACATGGGCCAAGGCGACTGTAATTGCCTGGCAATCCAATCTTGTTTTGTGTTTCGGATTTACCTCCCCTTGAGAGGTTCTCGTTCTGGTGCTTGGGTTGCCTGGAGCTCTAGCTGTTGTTTGCTTGTTTTGTAATTTACTCGTTAGTTCTCGGTTAATGTACCAAATTACTTTAAGTAGCACAGAATCATGGACCTGTTAAGGCTGGAAAAGCCCTTTAAAAGCGTTGGCCCTGGGTGTTATCAGGCGCTTGTGTGTAAGTCTGTGGAACCCTCGTTAGCGCTCTGCACTGGCTGAGCCATGTCTGTGGGTCAGGACTCGGTCCCTGTCCCGCTGGGGCTGGGATCCGCTGCTCCCAGGGCAGGTGCCTTGGTGCTGGACAGCTCTCTGCCTACCCTAGAGCCATTTCTTTAATTTATTTTTTAAAGGATTGGCATCTCCTGCTTGTTAGCGCTTCACATGAGCTCTCCCTTTTTGAGTGCTGCTTCCTCCCTCAGTAGTAAGGAGGTGCCGAGACGCCTCTCCTGCAGTGTGGGACTGAGCTAAAGATGGGCTCCCTGAGCTATTTGTGAGGAGCTAAATTTGTGCAGCGTGGGGACCTGGCCTGCCCTCACAGCACGCTGGTGCTTCTGGGGAAATGTGTCACAGCGTGCGCTGGGCGCTGCTGCCCGCTGCCCTCACCCTCTGTGCCCTGGCACAATCCCTGGCACAATCCCTGGCACCCTGAGCTGCCCTCACCCTCTGTGTGCCCTGGCACAATCCCTGCCCAGGCACCCTGGGCTGCTCTCACCCTCTGTGCCCCGGCACAATCCCTGGCACAATCCCTGGCACCTTGAGCTGGTGCCTGCTGCCCTCACCCTCTGTGCCCTGCCACAATCCCTGGCATCCTGAGCTGTCCTCACCCTGTGTGCCCTGGCACAATCCCTGGCACAATCCCTGGCACCCTGAGCTGCCCTCACCCTCTGTGCCCTGGCACAATCCCTGCCACAATCCCTGGCACCCTGAGCTGCCCTCACTCTCTGTGCCCTGGCACAATCCCTGCCACAATCCCTGGCACCCTGAGCTGCCCTCACTCTCTGTGCCCTGGCACAATCCCTGCCACAATCCCTGGCACCCTGAGCTGCCCTCACTCTCTGTGCCCTGGCACAATCCCTGGCACCCTGAGCTGCCCTCACTCTCTGTGTGCCCTGGCACAATCCCTGCCCAGGCACCCTGAGCTGCCCCTGCTCACGCAGCATTAGCAGCAGCAGCATTTGCAGCATTAGGAGCAGCAGCATTTGCAGTAGCAGCAGCATTAGCAGCATTAGCAGCAGCATTTGCAGCATTAGCAGCAGCATTAGCAGCAGCATTTGCAGCATTAGCAGCAGCATTAGCAGCATTTGCAGCAGCATTTGCAGCATTAGGAGCAGCATCAGCATTTGCAGCAGCATTTGCAGCATTAGCAGCATTTGCAGCAGCATTAGCAGCAGCATGAGGAGCAGCAGCAGCAGCATTTGCAGCATTTGCAGCAGCATTTGCAGCAGCATTAGCAGCAGCATTAGCAGCAGCATCATTTGCAGCAGCATGAGGAGCAGCAGCATTAGCAGCATTTGCAGCATGAGGAGCAGCAGCATTAGCAGCATTTGCAGCATGAGGAGCAGCAGCATTAGCAGCATTTGCAGCATGAGGAGCAGCAGCATTTGCAGCATTTGCAGCATGAGGAGCAGCAGCATTAGCAGCATTAGGAGCAGCATTAGCAGCATGAGGAGCAGCATTTGCAGCATGAGGAGCAGCAGCATTTGCAGCATTAGGAGCAGCATTAGCAGCATTAGGAGCAGCATTAGCAGCATGAGGAGCAGCAGCATTTGCAGCATTAGCAGCATTAGGAGCAGCATTAGCAGCATTAGGAGCAGCATTAGCAGCATGAGGAGCAGCATTTGCAGCATGAGGAGCAGCAGCATTAGCAGCATTAGCAGCATGAGGAGCAGCAGCATCAGCAGCAGCGCGCGCGTTCCTGGCCCAGCGGGCTGGCTCTCAGGAGTGCCGAGCAGTTCCCGCTGGGCACGGGGCAGCCGAGGGCTGACTCAGCATCTCTGGGGATCACTGCTCCTCCTAAACACGGTGCTCTTTGCTGGATCTGAGCCCTCTGAAAGCCAGCAGGCAAAACCCTAATTCATGGTTTTAGGGCAGAGGGAGGTGATAAAGCTGCGTGTCTAATTTCAATCGTCTCTTCATTTAAAGCTCCTGTAGCTAATAGCTTTATCAGGGCATTTATTTGTGATTACTTGTGCGTATCTGTCCGGGGTGGTGTTCTGCATTTAAGGAAAATGATGCTCTATTCTGTTTCAGCTGACAGGCTTTTACAGATTAGTGTGAGTTGCCATAGAGAATGACTGGCAGTTTCAGCTCCACTTTTGAAAGGGGCTTTTTGAATCAAAGCACAAAAAAGAAAAACAGCACAGAGGGAGAAAATGTAATAGCTAGGTAAAATCCGTGAGCCTACTCCCATTTAGAGATAATTGTTTTCCTTTGGGAAAAATTAAGTGCAGAAGCATCCTTGCAAAACAAGAAAAGGCTGGAATATGGAGGGAGGGGGAAGGATTTTCGCCATGTATTTTTTCAGATGTACCAAAGCATGGTGTGTTCCAGTTAAAACTGTAAGAAGCATCAAATAAGGAAGAGTCTGTTTCCTCTTAGAATTGTGCTGGATTTGTCGAACAGCATTCGTTTTACAAGGAGGGCAGCCATGTGTTCACACTGTGTGATGCCATGACTTTCTAAATGGCCATCGCACTCTTGTTTTTGTGCAACACGTTTCTTTCCAACAAACAGCTGCTCCTTCAGTGCCTCTAACAACACGGAGAATTCCAGCGCAGCAGCAGGTCTCTGGCTGGGCGTGTTCCTCCTGGGATGAAGTGGCAGGCTTGTTTTTCCCTCGGCTTGGGAAATCATTTTATTGGCGCGGTGGGTCTCAGGCCGGCCGGCGTTCCGAGCTCGCGCAGAAAACGCGGTGGAATCGCTGCTGTGTGCGGGCTGGCCGTGCTCTGCGGAGGCCAGGGCCCGGGGAAATGCCGTGGTTGGTGATTCCACCAAGCCAGGGCTGCCTGAAGAACGTGCCCAGAGCAGCTCTGGCAGCGCCAGGCTCCTCCTGTGAGGAGCCACGAGTGGGAAGGGCAGGGCTCTCCTGGGTTTCTGCCAGCCCTTCTGGCCAGCAGGGAGGAGCAGAGCTGGGCTGAGGGGGCCGAGCCGTGGGCAGGGCTGTGGAGGGAAGGCGAGAGGGACCCCAGGTGCCTCGGTGCCTCCTCCCTGCCCGGGGTTTGCTCACATCAGCAGCCCTGGACTCCCACCCCGGGCTTTCACTGCCGTTCATCCTGCTGGGATGGAGCCTGGGAAATCATCGTGTGCCTCTCCTGGTTCATCTGAGGATCCTGCCTGTCTGGATGCACATAAACCTTTATTTAAATATGGTTACCAGGGGAGGAATAAATCCTACATCTAAAACTGTGCAGGCCGCCCCAGGCATGTTTTAGCCATCATGGGACAGGCACTGCAGTTTTTTATGTGCTTTTAATATCCTGCACTTAGCTTGAAAATAAAAGGAGAAAAAAAGCCACGGACTTCCTTAGAAACCATTAAAATGTAGATATTAATGTATGTTAAAAACCATTCTAATGTAGATATTCTTTCCTCCTAGGTTTTACCAAGGGACAGTACATCTAACACTTAACTTGGATCATCTCTTGCTCATCAGCTTGAAAATCATAACAGCCCCCAAAACTGACATTTGATCTGAAAGAAAAAGCTGTGACAGATGGACAATATGTCTATTACTAACACACCAACAAGTAATGATGCTTGTCTGAGCATTGTTCACAGCTTGATGTGCCATCGGCAAGGTGGAGAGAGCGAGACTTTCGCAAAGCGCGCAATTGAGAGTTTAGTTAAAAAGCTGAAGGAGAAGAAAGATGAATTGGATTCTCTGATTACAGCTATAACCACCAACGGAGCTCACCCTAGCAAGTGTGTTACCATACAGAGGACGCTGGATGGGCGGCTGCAGGTTGGTACCCGTGCAGGCAGAGTGACCGTTCCTGCTGGAGAGCTCCCGCTCTGGCCGCTGCGGGCTGGGGGACAGGGCTGAGCCCCACTGGGCCCGGCTCCGCTGGGCTGTGCCTGCAGCGCTCCCCTGCTCCTGCACCGGGGCCATGGCCTGTGGGGGCACCCGCTCTGCTCTGCTCTGCTCTGCTCTGCTCTGCTCTGCTCTGCTGGGCTCTGCCTGCAGCGCTCCCCTGCTCCTGCACCGGGGCCATGGCCTGCGGGGGCACCCGCTCTGCTCTGCCCTGCTGGGCTGTGCCTGCAGCGCTCCCCTGCTCCTGCACCGGGGCCATGGCCTGCGGGGGCACCCGCTCTGCTCTGCCCTGCTCTGCTCTGCTGGGCTCTGCCTGCAGCGCTCCCCTGCTCCTGCACCGGGGCCACAGCCTGCGGGGGCACCCGCTCTGCTCTGCCCTGCCCTGCCCTGCCCTGCTGGGCTGTGCCTGCAGCGCTCCCCTGCTCCTGCACCGGGGCCATGGCCTGCGGGGACACCCGCTCTGCTCTGCCCTGCTCTGCTCTGCTGGGCTCTGCCTGCAGCGCTCCCCTGCTCCTGCACCGGGGCCACAGCCTGCGGGGGCACCCGCTCTGCTCTGCCCTGCCCTGCCCTGCCCTGCTGGGCTGTGCCTGCAGCGCTCCCCTGCTCCTGCACCGGGGCCATGGCCTGCGGGGACACCCGCTCTGCTCTGCCCTGCTCTGCTCTGCTGGGCTCTGCCTGCAGCGCTCCCCTGCTCCTGCACCGGGGCCATGGCCTGCGGGGGCACCCGCTCTGCCCTGCCCTGCTCTGCTGGGCTGTACCTGCAGCGCTCCCCTGCTCCTGCACCGGGGCCACAGCCTGCGGGGGCACCCGCTCTGCTCTGCACTGCTCTGCTCTGCTCTGCTCTGCTGGGCTGTGCCTGCAGCGCTCCCCTGCTCCTGCACCAGGGCCATGGCCTGTGGGGGCACCTGCTCTGCTCTGCTCTGCCCTGCTCTGACTGTGTGTGTGTGTGAGTGTGGCAGTGCAGAGCAGCGCCCCTCACAAACCCAGCCCTGGTGCTGTGTGTGCCTGACACCCCGTGCTGTCACTGTCACTGTCACTGTCAGCTCAGTGCTGTCCCTGGTCAGCTCAGTGCTGTCCCTGTCACTGTCAGCTCAGTGCTGTCCCTGGCTGAGCCGTGTCTGTGGGGCTGTGCCAAGCACCTGCACGGGCTGTGCTGGGTCAGGACTTGCTCCCTGTCCCGCTGGGGCTGGGATCCGCTGCTCCCAGGACACATGGCCTGGTGCTGGACAGCTCTCTGCCTACCCTAGAGCCATTTCTTTAATTTATTTTTTTAAAGGATTGGCATTCTCCTGCTTGTAAATTTGGTGGTGTAGCTTAGCACCTTGTTCCTCTTTTCTGGGGCAAAGCCCCTTCACATCCTCGGTGGAGAAGGTGACCATGCCTCGTACCTGGAGCACAAGTTCCGCTCCTGCCATTTTGTACCCAGTATTTTTTACCCAGGAGTCACACAGCACTGACTGAACGGTGGCAAAACCCTGACAGAAGCGTGTTGCTGTTGGGCACGGGGCTGGGGTGCGGCGTGCAGGAGCGGTGCAGCACCTTTGGCTCTTTGAGGTGCCTTTTGGCGGCGGGGAGAGGGCGCGGTGCTGTTTGTGCCCTGCCCTGTGCTCGCTCGTGTCCCAGCTCCCGTGTCTGCCTTTGCAGGTGGCTGGCCGCAAGGGGTTCCCCCACGTGATTTACGCCCGGCTCTGGAGGTGGCCCGACCTGCACAAAAACGAGCTCAAGCACGTTAAATATTGTCAGTATGCTTTTGACCTCAAGTGTGACAGTGTCTGTGTGAACCCTTACCATTATGAGCGCGTGGTGTCGCCCGGCATCGGTGAGTATCCCCCGAGTTACAGTGCAGAAAACGCAGCCCCCGGTTCGGAGCATTAACTTTCAATGGTCTCGGTATAAACACCCTCGAATGCTCCGTGTTCCGAAGTGCAGGTACTGTTCTGGCTGTGTTGCAGGTGCGGAGGGCGGGTTTGGCCTCTGTTGGAGCCCTGCTGTGGGGTTTGCTGGCGCGCAGCTCTTGCAGCTGCTGTGCCCCTCGGGGTGGCTGAGCGCAGGCTGCCCTGCACTGGAAGGGCTCTGGCGGCTGCAGCCTGCAGTGCTGGTTTTTAAGGGCTGCGAACGTTTGAGCGTGCTGTGAGCTCTCTGAATGCATCCTCTGCCCCCTTCTCCCTGTGTTCCCTTTGCAGATCTCTCGGGACTGACGCTGCAGAGCTCAGGTGAGTGGCTGTGCTTGCTGCTGCCTTTCCATGGGGATGCCAGGCCCTGCCACCCCTCTGCCTCACAAAAGCCAGGGCCTGCTTTTGTGCCCCTGGCTCCCAAAAACCACCCCACAGCCCTGCCAGGGGCAAGGGTCTGTAAATCCCTGGCGCAGAGGCTCCAGCTCTGCCCGGTGCTCACTGCTTCCCACCTGTGACACCCACAGAAAACCAAAAACCAGTAAAAAAAAGACACCCAAAACTTTGTGCACCTGCATGATTTGCTGATTAATTGGATTGGGAATGCTGCGTGTGATTTAATAGGAAGGAAAGAACGGAAATTCTGTAATTAATTCTGCCGTTGGGTGAAGGAGTCTGATATCCTTGCTTTCCCCGGACGTGAAATCTCGCCTGGGCATTATTCAGAAATCTGAGATTCCACTGCTGGTAACTGCTTTATTTCAAAGCTTGTTTTATTCTCCTCCCAGAGGAAATTCATGGAGGAAGAAATTTGTGTGCTCCAGTGATTTTAGCACATTGTTGAAAGTATCCAAGTAAAAATGAACTAGGAAAAAAACCCCACCAAACCTCCCAACAAAGTTAACTTGACAAGCTGTAATCTGTGTGCTCATCTGTGCTAATTTGCATTGTTACTGTGCCTTCTGGAAAGTTGTCCTTCGGTACAGAGTCAAAGCTGAATTTTCCATTGCTTAATGAAATTATTTCAGTATTTAACACCAGCAGCTAAACACATCATAAGCATTCCCTTTGGCCCTGCTCTTGCAGCAGGTTCTGACATACTTGGTGTGCTTGCAAAAGGAGCATGGGAGGTGATGCGATGCAGGGGTCAGTGGCACACTCAGAAATAAATTGCTGTAGTGGCAGTTCCCTAGCCCTGTGTGGGAATGATCTGAATTGCACTGCTGAACACTGACCGGTTTCCTGTGGCCTTTGGGTGTGAATTTGATTTTCCAGTCAGTTTGAGGGGGAGTTCCTTAAGATGGCCCCAGGGATGCCTGAAGCTCGTGTGCCGTGTTCACAGAGCTGTGTGTTGCATGGGCGCTGTGTGTGTGTGCCTGCTCGCGTTCCCGAGAGCGGCTGGTGAGCTGCTGCTGTAGTGCACACACACACACACGCCTGGCAGCGAACGCCGTGTGTCCTGTGTGACCGTGTGCCGGGCTGGCATGGGCTCGGAGCTCCTGCAGCCGCCGCGCCGGGGCTGAGCCGGGTGTGCGGAGGGGCAGGGAGCCCAGAGCAGGGTGTGTGTGATGTGTGTGAGTGTGAGTGTGAGTGTGCACTGTGTGTGTGAGTGTGTGCGGAGGGGCAGGGAGCGGCAGCCCAGAGCAGGGTGTGCGTGAGTGTGAGTGTGTGAGTGTGCACTGTGTGTGAGTGTGTGCGGAGGGGCAGGGAGCGGCAGCCCAGAGCAGGGTGTGCGTGAGTGTGAGTGTGTGAGTGTGAGTGTGCACTGTGTGTGAGTGTGAGTGTGCACTGTGTGTGTGTGTGTGTGTGTGCGGAGGGGCAGGGAGTGGCAGCCCAGAGCAGAGTGTGCGTGAGTGTGAGTGTGAGTGTGCACTGTGTGTGAGTGTGAGTGTGAGTGTGTGTGAGTGTGTGTGTGCGGAGGGGCAGGGAGCGGCAGCCCAGAGCAGGGTGTGCGTGAGTGTGAGTGTGAGTGTGTGAGTGTGCACTGTGTGTGTGTGAGTGTGCACTGTGTGTGTGTGAGAGTGTGTGCGGAGGGGCAGGGAGCGGCAGCCCAGAGCAGGGTGTGCGTGAGTGTGAGTGTGAGTGTGAGTGTGAGTGTGCACTGTGTGTGTGTGAGTGTGTGCGGAGGGGCAGGGAGTGGCAGCCCAGAGCAGGGTGTGCGTGAGTGTGAGTGTGAGTGTGAGTGTGAGTGTGTGCGGAGGGGCAGGGAGCAGCAGCCCAGAGCAGGGTGTGCGTGAGTGTGAGTGTGTGAGTGTGCACTGTGTGTGTGTGTGAGTGTGCACTGTGTGTGTGTGTGTGAGTGTGTGCGGAGGGGCAGGGAGCGGCAGCCCAGAGCAGGGTGTGTGTGAGTGTGAGTGTGTGCCCTGTGTGTGTGCACTCCGTGTGCCCTGTGTGTGTGCACTCTGTGTGCCCTGTGTGTGTGCACTCTGTGTGCCCTGTGTTGGAGTGTGAGTGTGTGTGTGCGGGGCAGGGAGCGGAGCAGCAGCAGCTCACCATGGGTGCACAGCCCAGAGCAGGGTGTGAGTGTGCCCTGTGTGTGTGTGTGAGTGTGTGTGAGTGTGTGAGTGTGTGAGTGTGTGTGTGTGTGTGTGTGTGCCCTGTGCGTGTGTGTGTCCGCGCTGTCCCCATGCTATCCCCGTGCTGTCCCTGTTCTGTCCCTGTGCTGTCCCCATGCTGTCCCCGTGCTGTTCCCATGCTGTCCCCATGCTGTCCCCATGCTGTCCCCATGCTGTCCCCGTGCTGTCCCCGTGCTGTTCCCATGCTGTCCCCATGCTGTCCCCATGCTATCCCCATGCTGTCCCCATGCTGTCCCGGTGCTATCCCCATGCTGTCCCCATGCTGTCCCCATGCTGTCCCCGTGCTGTCCCCATGCTGTCCCCGTGCTGTCCCGTGTGTGATGGCGCGCTGTCCCCGCAGCCCCGTCCAGCATGCTGGTGAAGGACGAGTACGTGCACGACTACGAGGGGCAGCCGTCGCTGTCGTCGGCCGAGGGCCACTCGGTGCAGACCATCCAGCACCCGCCCAGCAACAGGGCCAGCTCGGAGCCCTTCAGCGCCCCGGCCATGCTGGCCCCCGCCGAGGCCAGCACCACCAGCACCACCAACTTCCCCAACATTCCCGTGGCCTCCACAAGTAAGCTCCTGGGTGGGGTGGGCGTGGGGATGGTGTGCAGGGCAGCCTGAGTGTGTGTGTGTGTGCTGCAGCTGCTGCAGGCCAGCCCCTGGGCATGCAGGGCAGCCTCTGTGTGTGCAGCTGCAGGCCAGCCCCTGGGCATGCAGGTCACCCTGTGTGTGCTGCTGCTGCTGCTGCAGGCCAGCCCCTGGGCATGCAGGGCACCCTGTGTGTGCTGCTGCAGCTGCTGCTGCAGGCCAGCCCCTGGGCATGCAGGGCACCCTGTGTGTGCTGCTGCAGCTGCTGCTGCAGGCCAGCCCCTGGGCATGCAGGGCAGCCTCTGTGTGTGTGCTGCTGCAGCTGCTGCAGGCCAGCCCCTGGGCATGCAGGGCAGCCTCTGTGTGCTGCAGCTGCTGCAGGCCAGCCCCTGGGCATGCAGGGCACCCTGTGTGTGCTGCTGCAGCTGCTGCAGGCCAGCCCCTGGGCATGCAGGGCACCCTGTGTGTGTGTGCTGCTGCTGCAGCTGCTGCAGGCCAGCCCCTGGGCATGCAGGGCACCCTGTGTGTGTGTGCTGCAGCTGCAGGCCAGCCCCTGGGCATGGCGCCGGGGGATGCAGTGCTGTGGCCTGGCAGCGTTCCTGTGCCACCCCGAGGTGGTGGTGCCTGTGCCAAAGGGCCGCACAGAGCACTGCAGCAGCTCAGCCATGGTGGTTCGCTGTGCTCCCCCAAGGACAGCCCCAGTTAATATTTCCAGAGCAGGGTGGCTGCCACCCGGGCACTGCCAGAGAGCAGTCACACACTCATCGCTTCACTGCCACGGCAGCAGAGCAGCGAATGCACGTGCTGAAAGGAGAGACCCTGGGCTGCTCCCTCTCCTGCAGCGTGAGCACCACTGCTCCCCTCGCGGGGTTCCCTGTGCTCCCCCGAGGACAGCCCCAGCCAGTATTTCCATTGGTGTGCTGGAGCGCTGCCACGAGGGTTTTGACACCTTTCCCTGTGCCTGGTGCAGTGGGAGGGGTCGGTGTCGCAGCACCGTGTCTGTCAAAATGAAATGCTGCCCAGGGCCAGCCTGCAGGACAGCAGAGCACCCTGAGCACCCCGAGAGCTTTCACACCGAAGATGAGTGGGCATCGCTGATCTCATTACAGATGCGAATTGTGGGGACGCTGTGCTGTGATACGCTCGTTAATTTCAGCTGATGAGATTTTGGCTAAAAGTACTGGTGTTGGTAACTTCACCATGTCTGCATTTGTCTCCAGCAGAGATAAGAAGGGCATGGGTAGTTAGTTGTGCTGCCTTTGCACCACACTTTATAAGTCAGTAACCTTTTCTCTTCAGTGCCAGACTTGCTGGAGGCAAGTGGACGTGAAAAAAAAGTCAATTTTTATGTTTCACTGCAAGCTCTCAATATGTTAGATTGTGCTAGCCACAGCATTGAGAGTGCAGTGTAATTGTGAAAGTGTTGGTAAGTTGAGTGTTAATGGCTGAACTGAAGCCTTGTGCAGTCAGATTTTGTTAACCTGTTCTGAAATATCTGTAGTTTTAATCTTAGACAATTCTTGAAATATTTATTTGAGAGGAGGGAGAGAAGCCGCAGGGGCTTTCTGAGTGCAGTGTTGAGTGCAGCTTTACTGAAGCAGTGTTTACCACAGCGAAATGCTGCCCAGAGTGCTTTGGAGGAGCATGGCTGTGAGTGAGTGTACTCCTTAGGAACGGTAGTTAAAACATGCTGAAAACAAGCGGCTCACCGGGCCTGTTTGGGTTCACACCAAACCTTTCCAGCCCTGTTACCCAGTCCAACTGTGACATCCCCTCTTCCCTGTCACCCTGCAAAATGAGATGGACCAGGACAAGGTGCGGGTGCTGAGCAGAGCTCTGTGCCTTCTCCTGCTCCTGAAGGGTGAAGGGGTCAGAGTTCCCCGGTGCAGAGCGCTCTGCCTCGAGCCTCCTGCGGGCGCAGGAGAGGGACAGAGGCCGGGCCGCGGCAGCGGCGCCCTGCAGTGCCCTGCCGGGCCGTGCCCTCCCGCCCGCTAGCGCTGAGCTCTTCTCGACCCGCCTTTTGGAACGCTCACGAATAGGTAGTGTGTTCTTTCACCAGGTCAACCTCCCAGTATATTGACAGGTAGCCATAGTGATGGACTCTTACAGATTGCTTCAGGGCCCCAGCCAGGAGCTCAGCAGAATGGGTTCACAGCCCAGCCAGCCACTTACCACCACAGTGAGTATCCCCCCGCTCCTGCGCCTCTCCGCTTCCTCAGCCCGGTTTCCAAAAGCCCAGGAGCAGCAGAGGACGAGCAGGGGATGAGGGCGGCTGGCTCGGGCACCCAGGGCCGTTTGTCTTTGCAGACAGCACCACCAGCTGGACGGGGAGCCGGACGGCCGCCTACACGCCCAGCATCCCGCACCACCAGAACGGCCACCTGCAGCACCACCCGCCCATGCACCCCGGACACTACTGTAAGCGCCCCCTGGGGTCCCTCTGTCCGCCTGTCCGCCTGTCCTGCCGCCCGTGCCAGCTGCGAGATGCTCTGGCAGCCCCGCTCCTGTGCCCTGCCCTCAGAGCATCCTCACATCTGCCTGTGCCCTGTGCCCTCACAGCCCCTCACATCTGCCTGTGCCCTGTGCCCTCACAGCCCCTCACATCTGCCTGTGCCCTGTCCTCTCAGCATCCTCACATCTGCCTGTGCCCTCACAGCCCCTCACATCTGCCTGTGCCCTGTGCCCTCACAGCCCCTCACATCTGCCTGTGCCCTCACAGCCCCTCACATCTGCCTGTGCCCTGTGCCCTCAGCATCCTCACATCTGCCTGTGCCCTGCCCTCAGAGCATCCTCACATCTGCCTGTGCCCTCACAGCCCCTCACATCTGCCTGTGCCCTGTGCCCTCAGCATCCTCACATCTGCCTGTGCCCTGCCCTCAGAGCATCCTCACATCTGCCTGTGCCCTCACAGCCCCTCACATCTGCCTGTGCTCTGTGCCCTGAGCCCCTCACATCTGCCTGTGCTCTGTGCCCTCAGCATCCTCACATCTGCCTGTGCCCTGTGCCCTCACAGCCCCTCACATCTGCCTGTGCCCTCACAGCCCCTCACATCTGCCTGTGCCCTGCCCTCAGAGCATCCTCACATCTGCCTGTGCCCTCACAGCCCCTCACATCTGCCTGTGCCCTGCCCTCAGAGCATCCTCACATCTGCCTGTGCTCTGTGCCCTCAGCATCCTCACATCTGCCTGTGCTCTGTGCCCTCACAGCATCCTCACATCTGCCTGTGCCCTGTCCCCTCACAGCCCCTCACATCTGCCTGTGCCCTCACAGCCCCTCACATCTGCCTGTGCCCTGCCCTCAGAGCATCCTCACATCTGCCTGTGCCCTGTCCCCTCACAGCCCCTCACATCTGCCTGTGCTCTGTCCCCTCAGCCCCTCACATCTGCCTGTGCTCTGTCCCAGCTGTGCTGGCAGCTCACCGCCAGCCCCAGGGGCTCTCCCCGCTGCTGCAGCACCACCAGGAGCTCGGAGAGCTGCAGCAAAGCTCAGTGTGGCACCCGAGATTGCTCTGTTACACTGAGGAGAGCTCAGTGTGGCACCTGAAATGGCTCTGTTACACCCAGGAAGGCTCAGTGTGGCACAGGAAATTGCTCTGTTACACCCAGGAGAGCTCAGTGTGGCACCTGAGATTGCTCTATTACACCCAGGAGAGCTCAGTGTGCACCTGAGATTGCTCTGTTACACCCAGCAAACCTCAGTGTGACACCTGAGATTGCTCTGTTACACCCAGGAGAGCTCAGTGTGGCACCTGAGATTGCTCTGTTACACCCAGGAAAGCTCAGTGTGGCACAGGAAATTGCTCTGTTACACCCAGGAAACCTCAGTGTGGCACCTGAGATTGCTCTGTTACACCCAGGAGAGCTCAGTGTGGCACCTGAGATTGCTCTGTTACACCCAGGAAAGCTCAGTGTGGCACCTGAGATTGCTCTGTTACACCCAGGAAAGCTCAGTGTGGCACCCGAAATTGCTCTGTTACACCCAGGAAACCTCAGTGTGGCACCTGAAATTGCTCTGTTACACCCAGGAAAGCTCAGTGTGGCACCTGAGATTGCTCTGTTACACCCAGCAAACCTCAGTGTGGCACAGGAAATTACTCTGTTACACCGAATTAACTGAGCAGCACCGCCTGGCCCAGCCTCTCCTGCAAAGCTTGGCAGCCCCACGCTGACCCATTTCCCGAGCACAAGAGGAAGCTGATGGTTTTTCCTTTCAAAACTTGGAAATTCCTGCCTGTTTCTGTTTTTTAGAGGTTTTGCAGTCGTGCTAAGCTTTGGAAGGCACGTCCATGCACACTTTAAAAACTGCCAGCTTTAGAGAACTTAGTGAACCTTGCACAGTGAAGTGTTGCCAGTTCACAAATACAGTAGCACACAGACTTGAAAATATTCTTCATGTAGGAAATAGGACAAGAAACATTTATTTTAAAGTACAGGAGATGGGGAAAAAAAGTGGTCAAGCTTCTGTTGTGGGGGTCTAGCACAGGAAATGCACTGTAGGGCTTTAGTAGATAAAAACCTCCCACACAAATGAAAGGTCTCTAAATTTCGTAGCAAAAAGCTTGAGTAGTTCTTTATTTTGTAATGCAGTTTTTGTTAGAATGTTCCCCAATATTGGAATGTATAATATGTATTCTGTGTTAGGAGGCAGAGCACAGATCCTGGTGTAGATCAAGGGGTTGTTAGCGGAGGGGAGAGTGCGCTGTAAATTAACCTTGGAATGTCTTTTCAGCCTGTGTCTGTCAGTAAGGCCGCGGCTCAGGCACAGTTGTTAGGGTTAATTCCTTCACTCAGTGAGGGCCCTGCTTCACTCTGGTGTTGTTTGTCAGGGATGGCAGGGCACGAAGGGCTGCTGTGCAGAGGCTGTAAACGTTCTTGGCACGCGTGTCCCTCCAGAACGGGTGCCTGTGCCTGGCTGGCGATGCCACACCGAGCTTTCCCTGGGAGCTTTCCCTGGGACCTTTCCCTGGGACCTTTCCCTGGGACCTTTCCCTGGGAGCTTTCCCTGGGAGCTTTCCCTGGGACCTTTCCCTGGGAGCTTTCCCTGGGACCTTTCCCTGGGAGCTTCTCCCGGTGCTTGGGTGCCTGCCCTGGCCCCTCGCTGCAGGAGCTGCTGTCACTGTCATGCCCTGTTGAGCCTCTCCTGCCGCTCCCAGAGGGCACACACTCACCCACCATCCTGTGCAGTTTGTTTTTCCTTGGGAGATGTGTTCTCTGGGGCTTCCCCTCCATCCCGAGTGGTTGTTTCTCATGGTTGTTTCTGGTGGTCCAGCCCCCGGCACGCTGGACAGCTTGCGCTGCGGTTGATGAGGGTACCGGTGGGTGGTTTCACAGGGAAGCACTTTGGGGGAGAAAACCTTGTTTTTGCTGGTGTGAAGCTAACTGCTTGTTCTCTCCTCCAGGGCCAGTTCACAACGAACTCGCATTCCAGCCTCCCATATCAAACCACCCTGGTGAGTAAAGCCTGACAGCTGCGGGGTGCAGCTCGCGGGGGACGGGGCTGGGAGCAGGAGAGGACCCTTCTTTCCATGAGTCCTGCTCTAAACGGGGCACAGCAGGTGTGAGGGGGCTGGGTTCAGGTGCCAGGCTGAGCCCTGCAGCCCCGAGAGCAGCCCTGGGCTGGGCTGGCTGTGCCCAGGTGTGTCTGGGCTGTGCCCAGGTGAGCTGTGCAGCCCTGGGCTGGGCTGGCTGTCCCCAGCTGTGTCTGGGCTGTTCCCAGCTGTGTCTGGGGCTGTGCCCAGGTGAGCTGTGCAGCCCTGGGCTGGCTGAGGGTGCCCAGGTGTGTCTGTGCTGTTCCCAGGTGTGTCTGGGCTGGGCTGGCTGTGCCCAGCTGTGTCTGGGCTGTTCCCAGCTGTGTCTGGGCTGTGCCCAGCTGTGTCTGGGCTGTGCCCAGCTGTGTCTGGGGCTGTCCCCAGCTGTGTCTGGGGCTGTTCCCAGCTGTGTCTGGGCTGTGCCCAGCTGTGTCTGGGCTGTGCCCAGGTGTGTCTGGGCTGTCCTCAGCTGTGTCTGGGCTGTTCCCAGCTGTGTCTGGGGCTGTGCCCAGCTGTGTCTGGGCTGTGCCCAGGTGTGTCTGGGGCTGTTCCCAGCTGTGTCTGGGCTGTGCCCAGGTGTGTCTGGGGCTGTTCCCAGCTGTGTCTGGGGCTGTGCCCAGGTGTGTCTGGGGCTGTTCCCAGCTGTGTCTGGGCTGTCCTCAGCTGTGTCTGGGCTGTTCCCAGCTGTGTCTGGGCTGTGCCCAGGTGTGTCTGGGCTGTTCCCAGGTGTGTCTGGGGCTGTTCCCAGCTGTGTCTGGGGCTGTGCCCAGGTGTGTCTGGGCTGTTCCCAGCTGTGTCTGGGCTGTGCCCAGGTGTGTCTGGGCTGTTCCCAGCTGTGTCTGGGGCTGTGCCCAGGTGTGTCTGGGCTGTTCCCAGGTGTGTCTGGGCTGTTCCCAGGTGTGTCTGGGGCTGTGCCCAGGTGTGTCTGGGCTGTGCCCAGGTGTGTCTGGGGCTGTGCCCAGCTGTGTCTGGGGCTGTTCCCAGCTGTGTCTGGGCTGTGCCCAGGTGTGTCTGGGCTGTGCCCAGGTGTGTCTGGGCTGTTCCCAGGTGTGTCTGGGGCTGTGCCCAGCTGTGTCTGGGCTGTGCCCAGGTGTGTCTGGGGCTGTGCCCAGCTGTGTCTGGGCTGTGCCCAGCTGTGTCTGGGGCTGTTCCCAGGTGTGTCTGGGCTGTGCCCAGGTGTGTCTGGGGCTGTGCCCAGCTGTGTCTGGGGCTGTGCCCAGCTGTGTCTGGGGCTGTGCCCAGGTGAGCTGTGCAGCCCTGTGCTGGGTGTGTGTCCCCAGGTGTGTCTGGGCTGTTCCCAGCTCTGTCTGGCCCCATTCCAAGCCCCTCCAGGCCCCACAGCCCTGCAAGGGAAGGCCTTGTCCTTCCTGCGTCTTGTGCTGCTGTTCCTCTGTGGCCCTCATGGAAGCTCACCATGGCTTCACCTGGCGGTTCAGGGGGTCCCTCCTGCTGTCCCTGCTCTCTCTGCTTCGGGTTCAAGGTGATATTTTGTGTTTAACAACAGTAACACTGTTCCCTGCAGAGGTGGAGCTACAAAGTTGAAAAGCCAAAAAGTTAAACTTGTTTTTACCCAGATACTACAGCAGTGCCAGGAATTGAATGTTGGTAGCTGCCGGGCGAGGTTAACTGTGGCTGGATCGAGTTTCCCGTTGTTTGGTGGTGATTTCACCCTGTCGAGGCCTCGTTGCCCAGAGCAGCTGGGCTTCCCCAGCCCGGGAGCGTCCCAGGCCGGGCTGGAGCACCCTGGGTGCCTGTGGCAGGTTTGGAGTGAGCTGAGCCCCAAGGTCCCTTCTGACCCAGCCCATCCTGGCATCCCGGGATTTGCTGGTGCTGCCCGGCTGTGCTCCCCTCAGTGGAAATGGACCCTTGCAGGCAGCAGAGGTGCTGAGCTCCCCAGAGCGCTCCATGGCCAGAGCTTATGGCAGCTCTGGGTGTGCAGGGAGCACACAGCAGCCAGGGCTGTGACAGGGTATCTGGGTGTGCAGATACAGCAATCACAGCACACAGCAGCCATGGGTGTGACAGGCATCCCTGGGTGTGCAGAGGCGATGGGTGCAGGAAATCACTGCGTGTGCCTGGCCAGCTGTCGGTGCCTGCGGGGCTGTCTGGGACTCGGGGCAGGGCCCAGGAGCCTGGCTCTGCTTTCCTCGCCAGGCTGATGGCTGCAGAAGCCGTCCCTCCTTTGCGGCCAGCTTCCCGAATGCGCGGTCGGCGTTGGGGGCAGCCCTGTGCTCGCAGACTCTCAGAGCTCGCCGTGTGCTCCGCTGCCGCCTCGCTGGTGCCCTTGGCTCTGCCCTGCCCGGGCCGGTGCCCGCTCAGCGAATGTCTCTGTGTTGTTGTTCCCCACGTGCCGCTGCCCAGCCCCGGCAGGCTGCTGGCCCCTGCTGAGCTGACACGGGCGCGTGTCACTGACGCCTTTCATGAAAACCCCTTTGCCAGGATCCTTTCTCTCCTGAGACGCTGGGAAGCTTCAGCTTCTCCATGTTTTGCCGCTTTGGAATGTGACTTGGAGAATTGTTTACCCAGCGCGTGAATTGTTTTTACTTGGTGACCAATGGCAGCCACCTGTGTTGAGGCTGCGAGCAGTCACAAGATGTTATTGTCATTCCTTTCTTCCCTTCTGATGAAATCCTTTCTTCTGTTCTTTTAGTACAGTTTTAATATATCATTTTCTTTTAATATAATGAAAGATTTTTTTTAATTTAAAAAGATATTTTAAAGATTTAAAGATATTTATTTATTTATTTAATATAATTAAATTATATTTAACATACATATAATTGTCTTTTAATCTATCATAAAATAACATCATAATTATCATAATGTATCATAATATTTAATATATTTAAAATAATATATAATATATATTTATATATAAATATATAATTAGGTATAGTAATATAATTATTATAAGCATAGTTATATTATTAATATTTATATATTATATGATATTTAATACTTAATATAATATCATAATAATTATAATAATTATCATAATGTATCATAATATTTAATATATTTAAAATAATATATAATATATATTTATATATAAATAGATAATATAATTATATATAGTAATATAATTACAAGCATAATAATTATACAATTGTTAATATTTATATATTATATAATATTTAATATACTTAATATAATATCACAATAATTATCGTAATTATCATAATATATCATAATATTTAATATATTTAAATTAATATATAATATATATTTACATATAAATATATAATTATATATAGTAATATAATTATTATAAACAAAATAATTATACAATTATATTATTAATATTTATATATTATATATTTAATCCTTAATAGAATATCATAATAATTATCGTAATTATCATAATATGTCATAGAATAATATGATGAAATCAGCCTTCTGAGGCACAGAGTTGAGATTCTCATCTCCTCCCTCGTCCTGGTCCCTGAGAACACCCCCGAGGTGCAGAGGGGTCCCCGGTGGCTGCACCAGAGCTGTGCCGGGGCCGGTGTGGGTGCAGGTGGCTTCTCCTGCAGGGTGGTGTGGCGGGGCGCTGAGCCCCTCCTGCAGGGGCTGAGGCGCAGCAGCCTCGGTGGGTGCATGCCAGGACGCAGGCGCTGCGCGGGTGCTGCCGCGGGCCGGGCGCCCTGCAGCGCGCTCACGGCGCCCTCGCGCCTGTTCTTGTCCAGCCCCAGAGTACTGGTGCTCCATCGCCTACTTTGAGATGGACGTGCAGGTCGGGGAGACCTTCAAGGTGCCCTCCAGCTGCCCCATTGTCACCGTGGACGGGTACGTGGATCCCTCCGGAGGGGACCGCTTCTGCCTGGGACAGCTGTCCAACGTGCACAGAACAGAGGCCATCGAGAGAGCGAGGTACCCCGGCCCTCCTTCCCTGCCTCTGGAACCTGGCACTGCCCTGCGTGTGCCCTGTGTGTGCCATGGGAGTGTGTGAGGGACCCCAGTGTGCCCTGTGTGTGTGTGTGTGTGTGTCAGTGTGAGTGACCCCAGTGTGCCCTGTGTGTGCCATGGGAGTGTGTGAGTGACCCCAGTGTGCCCTGGGGTGTGTGTGAGTGACCCCAGTGTGCCCTGTGTGTGCCCTGTGTGCCATGGGAGTGTGTGAGTGACCCCAGTGTGCCCTGTGTGTGTGTGAGTGACCCCAGTGTGCCCTAGGGTGTGTGTGAGTGACCCCAGTGTGCCCTGAGGTGTGTGTGAGTGACCCCAGGTGTGTCCCTGTGTGCTGGGAATGTGCCCTGTGTGTGTGTGAGTGACCCCAGGTGTGTCTGTGCGCTGCCCCTGTGTGCGTGCAGGTGGATTTGAGCTCTGCACACACCTCAGGGTTTTGTGGGAGTGGCTGCCGTGTGCGGATTTTCCAGAGGAGCAGGGAAAGGCCGGCACGGAGCTGTTGGGCTCTCCTGCCTTCTCACCGTGCCTGTGCTGCCCTTTGAACTGGAAGCACACAGAACCGAAGCAATCCTGCAGCTTTTTCTTCTTCTCTTTGGGAGATGGAAGAAAATGATGCCTTGTCTCCAGAAATGTCACACCGTGACAGTCAAAGCCAAACAAATGAGTGAAACGTGGTGTTGCAGAGTGACTCTGTGAGACACAGAGCACTTGTGGGGCTTGCAGACGTGCCTGTGTTGGTGTCCCGGGTGCTGCTGTGTGCTCAGCTGTGCCTGGTGTGTGCTCAGCTGTGCCTGGTGTGTGCTCAGCTGTGCTGGTGTGTGCTCAGCTGTGCCTGCTGTGTGCTCAGCTGTGCTGCTGTGTGTTCAGGGGTGCCTGTGTTGCTGTGTGCTCAGCTGTGGCTGTGCTGGTGTGTGCTCAGCTGTGCCTGTGCTGGTGTGTGATCAGCTGCGGCTGTGCTGGTGTGTGATCAGCTGCGGCTGTGGCTGCAGCCTGTGCTGCCACCCCTTCCAGGGGCTGCTGCAGGTGTGTGCAGTGTGTGCAGTGTGTGCAGGTGTGTGCAGTGAGTGCAGTGTGTGCAGTGTGTGCAGTGCCGCTGACAGCGCATTTCCCTGCAGGTGTGTGCAGTGTGTGCAGTGTGTGCAGTGCTGACAGCCCTGCTGCCCTGCAGGTGTGTGCAGTGCCGCTGACAGCGCGTTTCCCTGCAGGTGTGTGCAGTGTGTGCAGTGTGTGCAGTGTGTGCAGCGCCGCTGACAGCGCGTTTCCCTGCAGGTTGCACATTGGCAAGGGCGTGCAGCTGGAGTGCAAGGGCGAGGGTGACGTGTGGGTGCGCTGCCTGAGCGACCACGCCGTGTTCGTGCAGAGCTACTACCTGGACAGGGAGGCGGGCAGGGCCCCCGGCGACGCCGTGCACAAGATCTACCCCAGCGCCTACATCAAGGTGGGTCACCGCTGCCACGGGGCGTCCCTGCGGCCGCGCCAGAGCCGCGCCGAGGCCGGCACATCCCTGCGAGCAACCTGTGCTCACACACATGCCCTGGCACAGAGCCCAGCCTGCCCCCGCGCGTTTGGTTGTGAGCCCGGAGCAAGTTACCCTCCTGAGATGGAAGATCACAAAGCCATGACAAATTAAAATGATGGCGAAGTTATCACGGGGTGGAAAAGCAGATTTTGGGGTTTTTAGAATGGGGGTTCAGGGGGCAAGATGGAGGAATCTGGGCGTGCCCAGCCTTGCTCCTGCTTCTTCTTGGCCTCCATGTTCTAGGTGATGGTGGCACTTTTGGATTGGTTTAGAGTAGAAGCTCCCTGTCTAACATAGGGGATAGGTATTGGGAAGTTATGGTAAACATTGTACAGGTAGATTTTAGTATAAAGACATAACAGCAGTGTGCCTCTGTCTGACCTGCTGGACAGACCTCAGCAGGACAGGAGAAAGAATTTTATAGATAAGATGCAATAAACAACCTTGAGGCCAAGAAATGAAGAGCCCTGACTGCCTCTTCAAGCCCCAGGCTGGGAAAAGAGACTTTCTAATGCATCTCGGGGTCACTTTGACCAGCTAGAGACCCTGACAGGAGGCATTTATAATAAATAAATATTTACATAAAGCCAACCCCACCCTCAGAACCCCTAACAAGTTCCATTTGTCGTTCACCTAGAGGGGACTTTAAAAATGACTGTGAACTGAAGGTGTCATCTGGGCACTATGAAAGTGGGGTTTGTACTTCGTCACAAGCAGCTTTGGTAGCAGTGCTTTATATTTTTAGCCTAACAGGTTTAAATTAACTGCAGCTAAAATTTTCAGCCTTGTGTTTCTTGGAAAAGAACATAATCTGTTTCTTTTCTCCCAAAAAAAGCAGAGTTGTGAAAGTAAATATAAATGCAGCAGAAGTGTAGGGCGTGTGTCGAAGTGCCACGAACGTGAGGTGACACAGGGGTCAGAGAAAGCTGCACAAAACAAATGGTTTTGAGGAGGCTCTTACCCGGGTGTGCCTCTGACAGACTGTGAGCTCACACAGACAAGCCACACTCGCAAAGAGCCGCTCTCGTGTTCATCTGCTGGGAGCTCTCAGTGGTTTGGTGTTCTCACCATCGGTTTTGGAGGCAGCTGTGCAGGGAGGGTGAAGGGAACCCCACGCGCTCTGTGCATCAGCTTTCTAACATAAAAACAGAGTTCTGAACGTGCATGGTGGCAAATGTGACCCCAGAGGTACAGAATGGCCCAGCCTGAGGCCCGCAGCCCTGCACTGTCAGTTGCTGGTGCTTCCCTCACACAGACCCCGCCGCACTCCAGTGCGAGAACGTGGGACCCGCTGGCTTTTTCAAATGCCCGTTTTTCTGGAAATCCTGGGATTTAACAGAGGAGCAGGGGTTTGATGTGCCTGTGGCACCCTTCAGACTGTGGTCTGCACAAGGTGCTGCTCGGGGCAGTGCTGGTGACAGCACGAGCAGAGTCCATAGGGATTGGATCAGGGCTGGAAGTGCTGGGCGTGCCGGGGTGGGGGGAGAATTGCTGCTGGCAGGGTCAGCCCGGGCTGGGCCGGGCTGGGCTGGGCTGGGCTGGGCCGGGCTGGGCTGGGCTGGGCTGGGCTGGGCTGGGCCGGGCTGGGCTGGGCTGGGCTGGGCTGGGCTGGGCCGGGCTGGGCTGGTGCGGTGCGAGGGGCAGCGGCGGTGACCCGCGCGTGTTCGTGTTGCAGGTGTTCGACCTGCGGCAGTGCCACCGGCAGATGCAGCAGCAGGCGGCCACCGCCCAGGCCGCCGCCGCCGCGCAGGCCGCAGCCGTGGCCGGCAACATCCCGGGGCCCGGCTCCGTGGGAGGCATCGCCCCCGCCATCAGTGAGTGCCGGGGACACCGCGGGGACACTGCGGGGACACTGTGGGGACACTGCGGGGACACTGGGGTGGGGCGGGGACACCGCGGGGACACTGCGGGGACACTGCGGGGACACTGGGGTGGGGTGGAGACACTGTGGGGACACTGGGGTGGAACAGGGACCATGGCTGGGACAGGGACCCAGGGCTGACACAGGGACACTGGGGTGTGACAGAGACCCGGGGCTGGGACAGGGACACTGGGGTAGCACAGTGACCATGGCTGGGGCACAGTGGGGCTGTCACTGACCCCTGCCATGCTGTGGGGCACAGTGGGGCCATGTCCTCGGCCCAGCCCCTGCCCCACGCTGCCCTCACCCCACGGTGTTGGGGCAGGGCTGTGTGTGGCCGTGGCTGCTCCGTGTCCCCCAGCACAGCAGAGAACAGAGTCTCTGTGAGGGTCACACAGCCACAAACACAGGCACTGCTGGCTGCCCAGAGCCCAGCTTGAGAAACGTGCTCCTGTTGGAGCTGATCCAAACACCACTGCAGACACATCACGGGTCTCTGGGCCCTGGGCCAGGTGTAGGAACACTGCTGCTGAGGGTCTTGAGGAGGGCTGGGGCTGGTTTTTTCGCTTTTTTATTACTGTTATTCTGGGCTGGCGTTGCCCTAGTTCCTAAATTCTGGATTCTTGAAGTTGTTCCAAAGTACTTTAGAGCTGTGAGTGCTTAGGTGAGCCAGGCTTGCTCTGTGTGCCGCGGGATTCCTTGTGCTGCCCTGTGGCTCCCTGCAGCTGCCCTGCAAATTGTTGAAGGCATTTTGGGAAAAGTTTGTCACTTCTTTGTAGCCATGCTTGTGATTTGAAATCTGGCAGCTGTGTTTCCCTTTCTGCTGTGTCAGCCGGCAGTGGCGCTGCTTTAATCCAGCCTCCTGCGGGTGCCCAGCCTGAGTTCTGTCACTGAAAATGCAGAACCTCGGAATAAGCATTTTGTGACTGGGCTTCCTAAGTGTGATTTGAATACATTGTGTCCTGTAAAGCACTTGGGTTTCATCCCGTCTGCTTTGTGTAGGGACGGATTTTAGGATATTGGGAATTAGGAGTTGCTGGCTGGGAGGGTGGGCAGGCCCTGGCCCAGGGTGGCCAGAGCAGCTGTGGCTGCCCCTGGATCCCTGGCAGTGTCCCAGGGCCAGGCTGGATGGGGCTTGGAGCAGCCTGGGACAGTGGAAGGTGTCCCTGCCATGGCAGGAGTGGCGCTGGGTGGGCTCTGAGGTCCCTCTGACCCAAACCCACTCCATGGTTCTGACTGCAGAGTTTTGTGTCTCAGCACCGTCTGAGGTGGCAGAACGCTGTGAAAGCTGAAACTGCAGGACATGCAAAGGAACGGGTGCAGGACATGCAGCGGGGATGTGGCAACGAGGGCTGGCCTGGCTGGGTGACAGGGAGGTGTGCATGGAGCAGAGCCAGGGAGGTGTGAAGGGACAGGTGTGACAGGACAGGTGTGACAGGCCAGGTGTGCCATGCCAGGCCAGGTGTGCCAGGCCAGGCCAGGTGTGCCAGGCCAGGTGTGCCAGGCCAGGTGTGCCATGCCAGGTGTGCCATGCCAGGCCAGGCCAGGTGTGCCATGCCAGGCCAGGTGTGCCAGGCCAGGTGTGCCATGCCAGGCCAGGTGTGCCAGGCCAGGTGTGCCAGGCCAGGTGTGCCAGGCCAGGTGTGCCATGCCAGGCCAGGTGTGCCATGCCAGGCCGGGCCGGAGGTGGCGCCGCTGTGCCCGCCAGCCCCTGACCGTGCCCCGCTCTCGCCAGGCCTGTCGGCGGCGGCCGGGATCGGCGTGGACGACCTGCGGCGGCTGTGCATCCTGAGGATGAGCTTTGTCAAGGGCTGGGGCCCGGACTACCCGCGGCAGAGCATCAAGGAGACGCCGTGCTGGATCGAGATCCACCTGCACCGCGCGCTGCAGCTGCTGGACGAGGTGCTGCACACCATGCCCATCGCCGACCCGCAGCCCCTGGACTGAGCGCCTGTAAAACGCCCCGAGCCGCCGCCCCCGCCCATGCTCCACTTCCTCCTGCTTAACCTCTCGAAACAGGTTTTAAAAATGTGTTTGCCGCCTTGCTCTTAGCAGAACGCGCCTGAACGTGCGGGATTTGGATTTCAGTTATCTCCAGAAACTCAGTAGTCGTAACACAGGGCCTGACGTGGAAGGTAAATGCTTTATAGAGACTTCACAGAGCTGGGTTTGTTCCCTTTGAAACTCTCCTTCCCTACGGTGGCATCTTGGTGATCAGCCTCACAGGAGCCTTTTGTATGCAGAATATATATTATATATATATTTATATCTGAAAATTCCTTCTAGTAGTTAAAAACATTTACCTTGTAGCGACTTTAAATTCCAGCTGATTTGTGATATTCTGTTTAGGGAACAGTAGTTAACAGAAGAGTTCTTTATTTTGTTGATGATCACGCTACGATTTTTCCAGGTTAAAGCCTCGCAGCTGCCAAAAAGTGAGGGGATGACACATACCTTGTTGGCATCGATCAAAAAATTCTTTAGTTTTTAAAAAAAAAAAAAACAGAAGACATCCTAGATTTTTATTTATGTAGCCATGTGAGTTTAAAACACTAAAGGAAATGGATGCTTTGAGCGTGGGCACTCGGTGTGAGGTGAAACCCCCCAATGCCTGCAGCGTTGCCACTGAAACTGCCTCGTGAGTGCCTGATGGCAGGAGCGTGTTTTCATGATTGCTACCGGCCTCTGTGGTTCCACTCAGCAAACCCCCAGCATGTATCATGGTAAATCTGCATGACTCTTTTACTTGCATATATCATGGAAGTGTGTACGGTAATCCATCGGCGTTTGGACTGGGTTTTTGTCTCTGTTCACCATTTCCACTCAGGGCAAGATGGCAAACCTGTTTTTATACCTCCCGGTTATTTCAGCCCTGTGCCATCGGTGACCGCGCCAAGGGGCAATGGCTGCGTGCAGAGAGGGAGGTGCTGGGCTCACCCATCCTGGCCTCTGGGGCACAGCTCAGCCCCTGGGCTCTGGGGCACAGCTCAGATCCCTGTGCTCCCCATGGGCTCTGGGGCACAGCTCAGCCCCTGGGCTCATCCATCCTGGGCTCACCCATCCTGGCCTCTGGGGCACAGCTCAGCCCCATGGCCTCTGGGGCACAGCTCAGATCCCTGTGCTCCCCATGGGCTCTGGGGCACAGCTCAGCCCCTGGGCTCATCCATCCTGGGCTCACCCATCCTGGCCTCTGGGGCACAGCTCAGCCCCATGGCCTCTGGGGCACAGCTCAGATCCCTGTGCTCCCCATGGGCTCTGGGGCACAGCTCAGCCCCTGGGCTCATCCATCCTGGCCTCTGGGGCACAGCTCAGCCCCATGGGCTCATCCATCCTGGGCTCTGGGGCACAGCTCAGCCCCCTGGGCTCCCTATGGGCTCTGGAGCACAGCTCAGCCCCCTGGGCTCTGGGGCACAGCTCAGCCCCCTGGGCTCCCCCATCCTGGCCTCTGGGGCACAGCTCAGCCCCATGGGCTCACCCTGGGCTCCCCCATCCTGGCCTCTGGGGCACAGCTCAGCCCCATGGGCTCACCCTGGGCTCCCCCATCCTGGCCTCTGGGGCACAGCTCAGCCCCATGGGCTCACCCTGGGCTCCCCCATCCTGGCCTCTGGGGCACAGCTCAGCCCCATGGGCTCACCCTGGGCTCCCCCATCCTGGCCTCTGGGGCACAGCTCAGATCCCTGGGCTCACCCATCCTGGCCTCTGGAATTCCCGCGGAGGAGCCGGGAGCGCTGCTCCCTGCTGGCCGAGCAGGCACGGGAGGCTCCAGAGCCTCGGCCAGAAATGGATCCATTTCCCCCATTTTCATTAGCTTCATTATTTTCCCTGCTGCCTCCCTCGGGGTGGCTTTTAATGACATCACGTTTGTGTCCTGTGAGGCGGCACCCCCGGTCCTGGGCAGGAGCGGAGTTTGTTCGCTCTCACCCCGGGTTTGGCCCCAAACCTGCTTGGCTTTGCGTGGCTGCCCGGCCAGAAACTCGCACCCCTGGCCGGCCTTGTGGTGGTGCCAAACCCGCGCAAAGCAGGGAAAGGCTGGCTCAGCCTGCTGCTCCTCCTGCTTGTGCTACAGTCTGAAAGAACTCCCTGGGTAAGGCGAGGGTTGTTACAGGTGTTTGCAAATCTCCACCTGCAAAATGCGTGGATGCCCCAAAATGTTCAGAACAAAACAATATTTGATGATTTTATTATGAGAAGTCAGTGTATTTACAGCAGGAGAAGCCAGAGGCGGTGAAAGCTGAGAAGGCATTCATCTTCCCCACCACCAGCTCCCAAAAGGGTGCACTTGCAGCTGTTAAAGAAAAATGAGACAATCTTACTCGTGGTTTTTCATATGCTGTTAAATTAACTTTTGTTCTTCCATGGCAAGGCACAGCAGGCAGCACATGATGGGCTGGAACGCGCTCAGCAGCAGCAGCAGCAGCAGCCCCCGAGCTGTTGGCGGGCTTGCATTTGTGTCTGAGAGCTGAGGAGGGGCTGCAGCAGCTCCCTGGAGCTGAGGTGACCCGTGCCTGTGCCCGCAGGGGTGCCAGGGGTGCCACTTGTCTGCAGCGCCGCATTCGTTCGGGTGACGCGGCCGGGATTTATTCAGCAGCCGGGATTTATCCAGCGTGCACCTCCTGCTGCTCCCTGCTCAGCCCTCCCGGCGCCACGGCCCCGTTAGAGCCCTTTGTGCTGTGGCCCTTTGTGCTCTCCCTTTGTCTGCCCAGCTGGGGTCAGCCTGGGAGGCTCGGTGGGAGCTGGGGTCGGCGCTGGGAGGGTTGAAAGCTTTTATCCCACTGTCATTGTTAGTGGAGAGGGGAGGGCGTTCACACTGAGCCCACTGCAGGTGCCGAGAGGAAACCTTCCCGCTGGAAGGGCTGAACTCCAGCAGGAATCCTCTGGATGGAGACAAAACCATTCCTTCCATCCCCTCCGTGGGTGAGGACGCTGTGCTGGGGCAGCCCTGCAGCAGCTCGGGCAGCCCTGCAGCAGCTCGGGCAGCCCTGCAGCTGCTCTGGCAGCCCTGCAGCTGCTCTGGCAGCCCTGCAGCAGCTCTGGCAGCCCTGCAGCTGCTCTGGCAGCCCTGCAGCAGCTCGGGCAGCCCTGCAGCTGCTCTGGCAGCCCTGCAGTGCCGCTCCCTCCCTCGGTGCCATCGTAGGTGTGACCCAGCCCGCGCTGCTCGCACCCCGCGCCTCCCTGGCCTCTCCCCCAGAGGAGGGCTCCTCAGGAGGGGCTGCCTCCCTCCTGTGTCCCTGCCCGGCCCTGGCTCCTCCCAGGATGGATCCTGATCCCCAGTTTTCACACTTTTACGGGTTTTGGTCCATTTCCATATTGGGGTTCATTGTCCAGCTCCAGGTTCTGCAGTCCCGCCCTCCCAGGTTGCTCCCCTCCATTCCCTGTTGTTTGCACTTTCTGGGCCGAGGCTGCAGCGGTGCCCTTGGTTCTGGGGCTGGGGAGGGGTTGCTGTGCGTGCCTGAGCCGTGGGCAGAGCTGCTGGCACTGTGTGGGGTCAGGGCAGTGCAGCAGGTGGGCAATGGGGCCCCTCGAACCGGGGCAGTCCCCGCGGCTGTGAGGCGCTGACCCCGAGCTGCTCCTGGAGCCGTGCCCGGGCCGGCCCCGCTGTGTCGCACTGTGGCAGGGTCAGTGTGGCAGGGTCAGTGTGACAGCGTCAGTGTGACAGTGTCAGTGTGACAGGGTGGCACTGTGGCAGTGTCACTGTGGCAGGGTCAGTGTGGCAGTGTCACACTGTGGCAGGGTCAGTGTGGCAGTGTCAGTGTGACAGGATCAGTGTGGCAGTGTCACTGTGGCAGGGTCAGTGTGGCAGTGTCACTGTGGCAGGGTCACACTGTGGCAGTGTCACTGTGGCAGGGTCAGTGTGACAGGGTCACACTGTGGCAGGGTCACACTGTGGCAGTGTCACTGTGGCAGGGTCAGTGTGACAGGGTCACACTGTGGCAGGGTCACACTGTGGCAGTGTCACTGTGGCAGGGTCAGTGTGGCAGTGTCACACTGTGGCAGGGTCAGTGTGGCAGTGTCACACTGTGGCAGGGTCACTGTGACAGGGTCACACTGTGACAGGATCAGTGTGGCAGGGTCAGTGTGGCAGTGTCGCACTGTGGCAGGGTCAGTGCTGAGAGAGCAGAGCCGCCGCTGAGAGCGCCGGGGCCGCGCTCTGGGGCTCATGCTGTGCCTTGGGGCTGCTGCTCCCTCCAGATGTGCGGGACTCCACACCAGCCCCTGCTGGAGCTTCCTCACTCCAGTAAATTTTTCTGTGTTCTTGGCGAGGTTTGGCGGCGCCCCAAAGCTGTGGTTCAGATGGGTTGAGAGCTGTGAAGTACCCATAGCCCAAAACTCACCCCGAGAGGGTTTTTCAGGCATGGAAACCTGGTTAAGCATTTCTTTTCTTCAGCCATTGCCTTTTGATAAGCGGTCAACAGAATTCCCAGTAGTTCCTTTGTAGCTTCCTGTATGTTTTTCATTAGACCTAGTTTGTGGATAATATACTGTAGCTAACTTTCCTGAAATTCTGTAACAGAGTATGTTTTTGATTAAAAAAGGTAAAGATTCAGCTCTCGGCTTCTTTCTTTCATTTGGCAGAGAGTTTTTACCGGGTTTCTGGAGGGCGGTCGGAGCTGCTGGCTGCGCTGGGGCTGGGAGAGCTCAAGGTCAGAGCTGCAGTTCCAGGGCTGCGGTTCCAGGGCTGCGGTTCCAGGGCTGCAGTTCCAGGGCTGCGGTTCCAGGGCCAGGGCTGCAGTTCCAGGGCTGCGGTTCCAGGGCTGCGGTTCCAGGGCTGCAGTTCCAGGGCTGCAGTTCCAGGGCTGCGGTTCCAGAGCTGTGGTTCCAGGGCCAGGGCTGCAGTTCCAGGGCTGCGGTTCCAGGGCCACACTCGGAGCAGCACCAGCCCAAAGCCCAGCCCAGGGTCCAGAGTGGGATCTGGGGCGCTGTGAGTGCCCCTGCTCCGTGCGGGGCTGTGACGGGACGGGGGCACTGTGGGGACATGGCCACGGCCGGGGGTGCCAGAGGGAGCTGTGACCTCCCCACCTGCGGTGCCGGTCCCTGGAACGCCCTCCTGGGGCTGCAGGAACGCCAGATCCTCGAGTTCTCCCCACAGGTTCTGTGCGGCTGCCGGGGTCTCTGCCTGCTCCTGAGCCCCAGCCCAGCCCTTCAGCTCCAGCCTCCCCCGAGCTGTGCCCTCTGTGCCCCCTGGCCACCCCCGCAGCTGCCCTGGCCACCCCAGGCCTGCCCGGCCCCGAGCGGCTGCAGATGGGGAATGACCACGGAGTGACCACAGAGTGACCCACGGAGTGACCCAGGGAGTGACCCAGGGAATGACCCACGGAGTGACCCAGGGAATGACCCAGGGAGTGACCCAGGGAATGACCCATGGAGTGACCCAGGGAGTGACCCATGGAGTGACCCAGGGAGTGACCCAGGGAATGACCCACAGAGTGACCCAGGGAATGACCCAGGGAATGACCCAGGGAATGACCCATGGAGTGACCCAGGGAATGACCCAGGGAATGACCCAGGGAATGACCCAGGGAGTGACCCATGGAGTGACCCAGGGAATGACCCAGGGAATGACCCATGGAGTGACCCAGGGAGTGATCCACGGAGTGACCCAGGGAGTGACCAACAGAGTGACCCAGGGAATGACCCAGGGAGTGACCACGGAATGACCCATGGAGTGACCCATGGAGTGACCCATGGAATGACCCAGGGAGTGACTCAGGGAGTGACCCATGGAGTGACCCATGGAGTGACCCAGGGAATGACCCAGGGAATGACCCAGGGAGTGACCCAGGGAGTGACCCATGGAGTGACCCAGGGAGTGGAGTGACCCAGGGAGTGACCCATGGAGTGACCACGGAATGACCCATGGAGTGACCCATGGAGTGACCCATGGAGTGACCCAGGGAGTGACCCAGGGAATGACCCATGGAGTGACCCAGGGAGTGACTCAGGGAGTGACCCACGGAGTGACCCAGGGAATGACCCAGGGAGTGACCCAGGGAGTGGAGTGACCCAGGGAGTGACCCACGGAGTGACCCAGGGAGTGACCAACAGAGTGACCCAGGGAATGACCCAGGGAATGACCCAGGGAGTGACCCATGGAGTGACCCAGGGAGTGACCCAGGGAATGACCCAGGGAATGACCCACAGAGTGACCAACAGAGTGACCCAGGGAATGACCCAGGGAGTGACCCCCAGAGCCAAATCAGGACCAGAGGCTCCGGCCCAAGCCCAGCTCCTGCCGCCCATCATCCTGTGGGTGGAGTGTGGGACTCCCATTTTTTGATTGTTTTTCTCTCTTTTTTCTCTCCTTGGCCTGCACACGCACTTCAGAGACCAGTGGCATCTGGCCCTGCTGGGAGCGGCACCGGGCGGGGAGAGGCTGCTTGGGGTTGGGGTGAGCACGGGGCTGAGTCAGCACGGAGCTGGGGAATGAGAGTGGAGCTGGGGAATGAGTGTGGAGCTGGGGAATGAGTGTGGAGCTGGGGAATGAGTGTGGAGCTGGGGAATGAGTGTGGAGCTGGGGAATGAGAGTGGAGCTGGGGAATGAGAGTGGAGCTGGGGAATGAGTGTGGAGCTGGGGAATGAGTGAGTGTGGAGCTGGGGAATGAGTGTGGAGCTGGGGAATGAGAGTGGAGCTGGGGAATGAGTGTGGAGCTGGGGAATGAGAGTGGAGCTGGGGAATGAGTGTGGAGCTGGGGAATGAGAGTGGAGCTGGGGAATGAGTGTGGAGCTGGGGAATGAGAGTGGAGCTGGGGAATGAGTGAGTGTGGAGCTGGGGAATGAGAGTGGAGCTGGGGAAAGAGTGTGGAGCTGGGGAATGAGTGAGTGTGGAGCTGGGGAATGAGTGTGGAGCTGGGGAATGAGAGTGGAGCTGGGGAATGAGTGTGGAGCTGGGGAATGTGAGTGAGTGTGGAGCTGGGGAATGAGTGTGGAGCTGGGGAATGAGTGTGGAGCTGGGGAATGAGAGTGGAGCTGGGTGAGCACAGGGCTGGGAAATGGGGATGGAGCTGGGTGAGCACGGGGCTGAGTCAGCACGGAGCTGGGGAATGAGAGTGGAGCTGGGGAATGAGTGTGGAGCTGGGGAATGAGAGTGGAGCTGGGGAAAGAGTGTGGAGCTGGGTGAGCACGGAGCTGGGGATGAGGATGGAGCTGGGTGAGCACAGGGCTGGGCAAGCACAGGGCTGGGAAATGGGGATGGAGCTGGGCTCACCATGGAGCTGGGGATGAGGATGGAACTGGGTGAGCAGGGAGCTGGGCAGAGCACGGAGCTGGGGATGAGGATAGAGGTGGCTGAGCACGGAGTGGGCAGAGCACGGAGCTGGGCAGAGCACGGAGCTGGGGATGAGGATAGAGGTGGGTGAGCAGGGAGCTGGGTGAGCTCGGAGCTGGGCTGAGCACGGAGCTGGGTGAGCACGGAGCTGGGCTGAGCACGGAGCTGGGCAGAGCACGGAGCTGGAGATGAGCACAGAACTGGCTGAGCACGGAGCTGGGGATGAGGATAGAGCTGGGCTGAGCACGGAGCTGGGCTGAGCACGGAGCTGGGTGAGCTCGGAGCTGGGCTGAGCACGGAGCTGGGCTGAGCACGGAGCTGGCTGAGCACGGAGCTGGCTGAGCACGGGGCTGCCCGAGCTGCCCGGCGCTCCCCGCCGAGCCCGGCCCGGCTGCCGGCTCTCGGGACAGGCCCTGCCCGGGTAAATTCGCGGTCCCAGCGCGGCCGGCCCGGCTGCGGGGCTGCAGTGCCTCAGGTCACCGCCGCGGAGCCGCGCCCGGGGGCTGCGGGGTTGGGGGTCGCGCCGAGGGGCAGCTCAGCCACGGACAGCCCTGGGGCCGGGGGAACCAGCTGGAGCCAAACTCGGGCAATGAGCTGCGGGCGTTGGAAATCCTGCCAGAATGAAAGCGCTGCCGCGTGGTTTTGGGCGGTTTGGGGTTTTTCAAATGTCTTTTCTTTGTTTGCTTTTATTGCCCCGCGGTTGCACAGCGGCAGAGCCGGGCGGGGTCCGTGCCACACGCCAGCCCTCGAGCCGCGCGGGGCAGGGGCCGGTGGCTGCCGGGCCTGGCAGGGCTGGGGACAGGGGACACCGGAGCCACCCGGGCTGGCGGCAGCTGCAGCTGCACAGCGGCGTCCCGGTGGTGCCACGGCACCGCCCAGGCTTGTGTGCGTGCCTCGTGCCAGGCTCAAGGGTCCCTGCCCTGCCTGAGGGGGCTGGGGACACCCCTGCCACCCCCCGAGGGGCTGGGGACATTCCTGTCCCTCTGCCACCCCCCGAGGGGCTGGGGACATTCCTGTCCCTCTGCCACCCCCCGAGGGGCTGGGGACATTCCTGTCCCTCTGCCAGCCCCCTGCCCGCCCATTGTTCTCGTTCCACGGGGTGGCCCGAGGGGCAGTCAGTCACTGTCCTGGGCACTCTGTCACTGTCCTGTCCTGTCCCGGGCACTCTGTCCTGTCCTGTCCTGTCCCAGGTGCTCTGTCCTGTCCTGTCCCGGGCACTCTGTCCTGTCCTGTCCTGTCCCGGGCACTCTGTCCTGTCCTGTCCTGTCCTGTCCCGGGCAGTCTGTGCTGTCCTGTCCCGGGCAGTCTGTCCTGTCCTGTCCTGTCCTCGGGCACTCTGTCCTGTCCTGTCCTGGGCTGTCCTGTCCTGTCCTGTCCTGTCCTGTCCCGGGCAGTCTGTGCTGTCCTGCAGCCCCGGTGCTGTCGCAGAGCAGTGGCCGTGTCCCGGGGCTCTGTGTCCCTGGGGCCGTGGGGCGGGTGCCCCTCAATGTCCTTGTGCCCCATCTGCCACCCCGGCCGCGGCGGCTCTGTGGGGGGACCAGAGGGGCCAAGGTGCCCCAGGGCCACCGCGGTGTCACCCGGGGCCCACGGGAGGTGAGGGCGTGGGGACCTGGGGGCTTCGGGAGCTGGAGCATCCTGCAGTGGCCAGGCCAGGTCCTGCTCCAGCCCCGTCACCCGAGGACGCCAGCCGGCCGTGGGGACACCCCGGGCACTGCCTGGCACTGGGGGCATTCTGCCCGTTTGGGGAGTGCCTGCAGCGCTTTGGGACGGGCAGTGCAGGGACACTCACAGGGACACTCACAGGGACACAGGGACACTCACAGGGACACTCACAGGGACACTCACAGGGACACAGGGACACTCACAGGGACACTCACAGGGACACAAGGACACTCACAGGGACACTCACAGGGACACTCACAGGGACACTCACAGTGACACAGTGACACAGAGACATTCACAGTGACATTCACAGGGATATTCATAGTGACACTCACAGTGACACTCACAGGGACACAGGGACACTCACAGGGACACTCACAGGGACACAGTGACACTCACAGTGACACTCACAGGGACACAGGGACACTCACAGGGACACTCACAGGGACACAGTGACACTCACAGGGACACTCACAGGGACACAGTGACACTCACAGTGACACTCACAGGGACACAGGGATACTCACAGGGACACTCACAGGGACACAGTGACATTCTCAGTGACATTCTCAGTGACATTCTCAGTGACATTCACAGTGACACAGTGACATAGTGACATT